CATTTCTTCTTAGAAGAAGAAGCACCCTGACTTTCTTCATCGTTAAACCTTATTATTGCAAAATCATGATTTCCATCATCACTTGTTACTGAGATCAAGTCTTTTTTATTCAACCTTATTGTCAATTACAATACTGAGGTTATGAAGCAGTTTAATCAAACGAAATGCACAATACTAGGAATTATCTTTCATAGTTCATAAGATATATCTAAAAGACCTCCCACCAAAAATTATATGGTTGAGAAATTACTCTTATGCATATATCTCATATCTTATGCATATATCTCATATCAAATAAAGGCATTCATTAAAAAAAAAAGGAAAGAAAAAATAAAGAAAGGAAAATAGACATGTCTCCTTCAATGTTGACAATACTTTCTCATTTGATTCTTTGTCAAATATTTGCTAATAAGAGGGATAATGTTTGACAATAGGTAATCTCTTTGCAAAATGTTGAAAGATTTTTTTGTTTCTCACCCATATTTCACAAATTATGCATTTCCATCCCCTGCATCAGTATTTTAAAAATAATCATTTTTATGAATATCATTCATACATGTTGCATTCATTTAACTTTATCATGCATCCAAAGTCAAATATATTGGTTAAGCAAAAGCAAAATAAAGCATATGCATCATCATTTTTTGAAAACTAAAAGGGCACCCTTCATTCTCACATATCAATCATTCCGACAACATTTCACATTTGCAAATGCAGTCGTTATTTTTGTAATCCTCATTTACATGACAAGTAATGCGTATTCTCATTCACATGACAAATAATGCATACTAGCTTTGGAAGTTTGCAATTTCATGAGTACTTAGGTTTGTGTTAGTTTTATCATCATGCGTTAAGCGCACATCTCATGTACTTAGGAATTTATTTTTAGGAGGATTTCTAATTTGTACACTCAGGTAAAGAACTTTCTAACAAATCAAGTCATTACAACTTCTTAGCGATCTTAGATACACTTTCTTTTGGTTAATCGAGCTCAATCTACGATCGAGGTGGAAAATGTATCAAGCACAGGTCCAGTGCAGTTTTTATATTTTCGGTTAAATCGAACTCGATCCAAGATTGTGGTCAAAGCCTATGTAAAGCACAAGTACAGTGCAGTTTTTTATCCCTTTGGTTAAATCGAACCCGATCCAAGATCGTGGTCGAAGCCAGTGTCAAGCGCAGGTCCCTTGCAGTTTTTTATCTTTTCGATTAAATTGAACCCGATCCAAGATCGTGGTCGAAGCCCGTGCCAAGCGCAGGTCCTGTGCAGTTTTTATCTTTGCGGTTATATCTAACCCGATCCAAGATCGTGGTCGAAGCTTGTGTCAAGTGCAGGTCCAATGCAGTTTTATCTTTTGGTTAAATCTACCCTGATCCAAGATCGTGGTCGAAGCCTATGTAAAGCACAAGTACCATGCAGTTTTTTATCCTTTTGGTTAAATCGAACCCGATCCAAGATCGTGGTCGAAGCCAGTGTCAAGCGCAGGTCCCTTGCAGTTTTTTATCTTTTCGATTAAATTGAACCCGATCCAAGATCGTGGTCGAAGCCCGTGCCAAGCGCAGGTCCTGTGCAGTTTTTATCTTTGCGGTTATATCTAACCCGATCCAAGATCGTGGTCGAAGCTTATGTCAGATGTAGGTCTCGTGTAGTTTTGATCTTTTTGGTTAAATCGAACCCGATCCAAGATTGTGGTCGATGCATGTGTCAAGTGCAGGTCCAATGCAGTTTTTATCTTTTCGGTTAAATCAAACCTGATCCAATATCGTGGTCGAGACATGTGTCAAGCACGGGCCCGGTACATTTTTTTTCTTCTTTGGGTTAAATCGAACCCGATCCAAGATTGTGGTCTAAGCTCGTGTCAAACGCAAGTCTAGTGCATCTTTTATCCTTTCAGTTAAATCGAACCTGATCCAAGATCATGGTCGAAGTCTGTGCCAAGTGCAGGTCTAGTGCAATTTTGATCGTTTTCGTTAAATCGAGCCCAATCCAAGATCGCGGTTGAAGCCTACGCCAAGTGCAGGTTCCAGTGCATTATTATCTTTGTAGTTAAACTGAACCCGATAGAAGATCAAGGTCAAGCCTACATAAGCTGGGTTCCGTCACTATCCTTCCTGCCTTCAAATAAAATTTTGGTCTTCCAAATAATTTGTCTTTTTCCTTTGTCTACCCTCTAAGTTTTTCAAGAATACACAAAGGGGGCAGGCTGTTGATATCGTATTTGGTCCAACCCAATTTTATTTTTTTTAAATAAATAAATTGAAAATAATTATTTATGTCTTTCATTAAAAATTCGAAATAAATAAATAAATAAAATAAAATATTTTAGATTAATCATGGATTTGAAATTTGAATTTTCAATTTGATTTTTCGGTTAAGGCTATGTGATTTTCACATTTTGAAATACATCGAAATCAATTTTAAAAATTAAAAAGGAGATATTAAAAAAAACGAGATTTGAAGTTTGAGATTCAAATTGATTAAGATTTTTTAAATTTTAATTGAATTAGAAATTGATTCTCTTTTGTAGATTTCCAGTTAAGGTTTGAGGAATTTAAGATATGATTTTTTATTTAAAAGGAGATTTTCAGTAAAGATTGGACCCAATATAGAGGGCGTTCACCCCAGATGAAAGGGACGGTGCAAAAGGAAAGGTTGTAATTTTGTTTCTAAAATTGCTTTTAGTAAAACATACTATTCTGGTGTCTTCCACCCAACAACTCACCCAACAACTCACTCTGTCTCCTCTCTCAACTCTTTCTCCCTCTAAAAATAAACCACCACCACCTACCTCCTCTCATATTTCATCACAATCCGGTGGTGTGCAACTCCAACGGCAACGTGGAGTGCGATAGTGAGAGCCTACAAAAGTCCAACCCCCGTCGTTCTGACCCTTTGATAGGTAAGTGAGGTCAGTAAAATCATTGTTTTTTTTTTTTTACATATTGGTAGAGATTTCATACTATTTTACATATGGGTTTCTGCTGAAAATTTTGATAGTTTTGGGACTATTTTCGGTGTTTTTTTTTAATGAAAAATTGGAGATTTTTGAATTGTTTTCGATGTAAAATTTAACAAGTTTCTGACCTGTTTGGAGTACTATTGTTTTGAGCTGAAAATTGGACCTTTTGGGCTGTTTTCGGTGTAAAAATTTACAATTTTCGGGACTATTTTTCAGTGTTTTCGGGGCTGAAAATTGAATGTTTTTGGACTGTTTTTGGCTAAAAATTAAATGATTTTAAGACTTATTTTAGTGTTGTTTTTGTTCGGGCAAAAGTAAGGATTATATGTGCAAATTAATTTTGAATTGACTATGTCAAATTATAAAATGAGGACTGAGTAATGTGCTTTCATGGAGTTACGACTCTCATGCAAGTGCACGAAAATCCTCAAACATAATCTCCTTGCTCGCCAAGAAAAGGAAGAAATCAATTTTTTACATAAAAAAGAAATTGATTTTCAAAATAAGAGATAAATTGTTTTAAAACTAAAGTTAAAAACATTTTTAAAGAAAGATAAATTTAGAATGGGTTTTAAATAAAATAATTGATTTTCTGAGATGCAAGATAAAATTTTTAAACTTTCAAAATAAATAAAAAGATTTTAAAAGAAAACAAAGTTTTCAAATTCACTTTGTTTTAAAATTAATAAACAAACAAAAAAATAAAATCTTTCCAAAAACTCGGATGATGGAGACTTTCCAATATTCTTGAGTTGATAATTTTTTTCTAATAACGTTCAATTGTTATTTCATATTTTATAGCAAAATGTGATTTAATAAAATATGAGAGATTTAAAATAAAACAAAAAATCATTTTTTCTCTAGACCAATAATTTAATTGGATAATTCAATATGGTAACCGTTTTCGAACGGGTGGTGCTAACATCTCCCCAATCGACTCCCAAACCAAAATCTGTTTTCGTAGACCATCTTTTTTTAGGTGATCAATCACATCTCGTAGTTGGTTGGTAGTGACTCCAAACCCCTCCCTCTAAAGAGACCCTTTAAAGGATGATATCGGCTACTACTCGTCACAATGATGTTGCTGACATTAGTGATTGTTATAGAATGTCATTGAATTAGTTTTTTGTGAAATTTTTTACTTATGGTGGAAATGGATCTTAGTTGTAGGGGCACCTTGTTTGATGATATTTCATAACTTTATGGTGGATTGTCATAATCTCTGTTTCCTTTTATGTCACGAATTTAGTTAATGACAAAATGTCATTGAAGACTAAATTTATTAACTAAATTTTCTGCTTGTTATGAACAGAAAAAAAGTTTAGGGAAAAAAAAAACTATCCTTGATTGCAGGGGCACCTTGTTTGTGAGAAAAAATGTTAATTTTCAAATTGTTATAATTTTATGACAATTAAAAATTGTCACGAAAATTGTTTTTATTATTATTATTATTATTAAATGACAGTCAATAGTTGAGTTGATATTTAATAATATTGAATTGCAAAAACTCTTACTCTTTACAAGTATGGCTGGCTTGCCCCGCCCTTTTCGGTGAGGCGAGTTTTCTCCTTTCGTTTAGTAAGATAGCTTACCAGCTCTTTCAACTCATAGTAGCATTATTTAAAGTGGAATCTTCATCTTGAGTCGAGTCTGCATTGCCATACGAATTGACATCGGCGAAACCAAGAGCTCCTATTTTTTCTTAACTAAAACGGATCTGTCTCGGTAAGCACAGAGAATTGCGTAGACAGACAAAGGAACTAACCTACTTGTCCTGATCTAAGTTCGTCTAAACCCACTATAAATCTTAGTATTATTTTTCCTTGTACCATGTAAAGGCTATGGGGGTTCGAATTTCTGATGTGAAGGGTAAGAGTAGGTCCCAATTACCGCTAAACTATGTTTTTGTTGACGAAACTTTTTGTTTTAATTCACCTCTAATCTTGTATTAGTGAATTGGGAAAAACAATCTTATTAAATTACAAAAGATATTATATTATTAAAAAGATATATATAAATATAATGAATGAGATATGGATATAAGCCGTAAAATATTGTTTCCACATTAATGCGCCTTATTTACTACAGTTGTACATTTGAAATTGAATTTAGAAATACATAAGACGAAAGTGAGGGATGCAAGTTTATTTTGTTACCTTTGCAAATGAAATACGTATTATATATTCCTTCTAAGAAAATCTTTATAGATCATCTATAGAAGCAGCCTCTATAAGGTGTCCAATAATCGGATCCTGTGTTCTCCCTATAGACTTGTGGTGTACATGAAATCGGAACTAGACAAAGTCCTCTACTCCGTAGGTCGATCTTTCCATCCCCTTTTGGGTCCTTTCTTTCTGTACTTTTCCATGGGTCCTGAAATTATAACCCAACATCAACTATAACCAAATATTTCAAATGTCGATGTCGATGAAAGTTAATGTTGTAGTTTCATGCATAAAAAATGTAATATAAACCTTGTAGGCATTTGTCTTCATGTATGGATTGCTCAATAACTGAAAGAAACAATCGGTAAAAAAAAGTTACAAACTCTTGCCAAATTACTGAGATTAGTATGCGTATTCCTTCATTCTGAAACGTTGGATAAAGTTGACATAAAAAATAAAGTTATAATACTTATATACCATAGTTTTACAAAATAAATAATTCACTAAACTAGCTTTAAATGAACATGCAATATTTAATCTATAATTTTAATATATATGTAGCACTTTTATGAGCTTGGTTATCCTTGTCATATAGTTTCTTTTATTTTATCTTGGTATTTATATTTTTATAGACATATAAATGTTTGATTATTTTTTTACTTTATTAAATAGTTATAATAACGTTTCCATGATAGCATTGTAGAAAGTGGCACGATACAAAAGCTAGAACTATAATAATAGCCAGAAAACTTACATTTTTTTGAAGTGTTGGAAGCAATGCTGGCAGAGATTTAAAAAATATATATATCCTTTTTTTTTCTTTTGCTTTTAAAATGTTGCAATAGAACTGAAATAATTTGGCAATAAATAATGATGCGAACCTGGATTTGCTCTTGTAGAAACTTTATGTATCCAATGGTTTCGGTTAGAACCGACGCCGTATCAGTCTGGAAATATGAATTATAGTTATTGTCAATTATTGTTGACAAAAGCCGAAAAATAAAATTAAAAAAATTTACAGAAAATTGAATGAAGCAAAAGTCAATTTCAACCTTTCCAAATGGCGACACAATTTGCTGAAGGGCCGTTATCCTGTCCCCAAGTTTGACCTTTGGTTGCTGCATCTATATTAATTATAACAAAATATAATTAGCGTTTTCCTTTTTTTCGGTAAAATTTATGTGAATTATGCATTAACCAATTGAATTCTTATAGTTTGAATTGGTTGCAAATTCGTTTCTATAGGTGTAGAAGTTATTATTTGATCCGTATAATGTTGGTTTAATTTTAATTTAGTTTTTATAATTTTGAAAGTTTAATGGTAGAATTTCGACAAACATCACACCATTTTATAAGTCTTTATTTATTTTAAGTGATTGTTTTTTATTTCACTAACTACATGGTAGCTAACTATGTTAATGTTCACGGTATTAAAAAATAGAAGAAAATGAGAGATATTTTTGGTGGGTAATATATAGTTTAGGAGAGTTGTTATAAGCTTAGCTTAGAGATAATTGACATTGGTCTCAAGAGGTTAGGATTCCAAATCCCCCCGACGCTTGTACTAAAAAAAAATTATGTTTATAATCATCATAAGAAATATTTTAGGGATAAGATGAGTAAAATTAAGATGAATACGAAATTTATTAACATTTATAAAACTCATGGTTAAATTCTTACTTGAAATTGTTGAACTAAAAGAAAAAATTGACAAATTGATCAACTTCTTTGTTCAGATACCTTGAAAAATGTGGGAACTTAATTCACTGATGAATCAAATTAAAAATATTAAATCCAAATCTTTGAAACTCAATCAAAAGTTTTTAAATCATACGCACCAATTTAAAATTAAATTCGAAACATAAGTAGCAAATTGTTAAGTTATAGAATGTGTATTTATATATGGTGATGGGTCAAGATTGTGTTGTTTCCGTGTGTGTGTCTATAGATATGTATATATTGAAGGGTCAAAATTATGCTGAAATGTGAATGGAATAATAAATTACTTAGATACCTTGTTAGATGCAGCGGTTGCGTTTTCTTGCTTTGTTTTCTTTGTGGCAGTTTCGGAACATTCTTCGGATCTTTTTTTCTTCCCTTCGCTCGAAACTCCACTTCCTCGTCCACTTATTCTTGTCTGCAATGCAATTGAGTAAAATAAAACAAATAAAACTTCCACCTCAAAAGTCAAATATTAATATAATACTATAGTAATAATATAGTTACTTGGGTAAAAAGATAAATACATTGATACAAATGAACAACGTAAATAAAATTCATATCTATTCCTATGAAATGAATTCATACAAGGGGAGGAAATAGGAGCTTTTGACTAAAACAAATCTTTAACCTCCGTTTGGTTTGATGAACATTTTATTATTGGTATGCTCTTCCAAATTCAGCTGACAACGAACTCCTTCTATTTTCATATATGTATTCATTTGTCTTATTTTAATTTTTTAAAATTTGAGCCAAATTAAAAGTAAATTAAAAAAATTTTCCGAAAACTTGCTTTTGATTATAATATTTTCCTAATAATTGGAATGTTTTATGAAAAAAGTGAAAATATACCATGAAAATAGTGAGAAAATAGAGGACCATTTTGAAAAATTGAAAACTTAAAACGAAGAAACATGTTACCAAACATGGCATAAGTTTTCTTATTCAGTTATAATTTTAATAAAAACACTTTTGAAACCATAGTTAATTTTATATTAAAAGAAGAAAAAGATTTAACAGACCAATAAAAAGTAGTGATCATAAAGACCTAACTTATGCAAAAGATGGAAGAAACTATTTTGCTTACTGGTGAAGAAGTTTGGTGAATCTGCTTCTTAGTATCTGCAGATAAATTCAATGACTTGAAACACGGATTATTGATGCCGTTGATATTGATCACCGGTTTCCCCAGTCGACCGTTAAACGAAATATAATCAGCAAAATTTCTAGTGCCCGCGTTGTCGAGTTGCATGCTATGATCATACTGTTTCGCCCCAATCGAATTCTGGAACCCACCACTGCCAAACGACCTCCGAAACAAGGCCGCACCTGGCTCGAGCCGGATCGGAGCCACCGTGCCTGCCTCGGGTGCCTCCGCTTTCAAACCATGGCCGAAACACGGGACCGTTGCGGCTCGGAGGTGGTCGGGTTCGTCGTCCATTGGCAGAGCGATGGACCACGTGTTTACAAGACTCGAAAGCTTCAACAGCCTCTCGTTCTCTGCCGCGTGGCTGTGGGTCGTAATTAGCCCATTATTATTATTGTTATTATTATTTGCGTCGAAAATAGGGAAACTGTTCCAGTTGTTGTTGTAATTGGTGTCCATTTTTTTAAGGTAATCGCTGCAGGCGGCGGATTCGAAGATTCCGGTGGTGGAAATGTTTTTTGATGATATTGCCTCCAAGAAGTTCTCTCCTATCTCTTGCTCGTCGCTCTGCAATTCCACACCGTTTCCTATGTTCCTGATTTAAAATAATATTTCGAGAGATCAAAATTTGTCCTACAGAAAAAAATTAAATTATTTTTCCTACCTCAGATACATATCAAGGTATATGCATGGTGACTCTATAAGCACCTGGTAGTGACAATATATAATTATGATGATAAAGAAAGAGAAAACAAAATGAAGAGATAATTTCTTATTGCCTTTATGGAGATTGTGACTATATTGGACTTGCTGATTTTAGTTGGATTTTGGACCGATCTTTCTTTATATTTATTGGTTTCATTTCAAATTTAATTGACTACAACAGAATAGTCCATATATATTATATTATCAACCTTTCTAGTGAATCCTTAATCTACCAAAATTTTGCAAAGAGGGAGATTTTATTATAATTAAAAAAGAAAAGAGAAAGAAAAGGCTAAGAGAAGCTTACAGCAAAACTTGGGTCCAGAGTTGGTTGTCGGAAGGAAGAGGGTCGAAGAGGCGGCGGGACGACTCAACGGTGAGCGCGGAGTGAAACGAAGATGTTGAGAGGGAAACATCTTGGTCGCAGGAGGTGTTGGAATTAGGGTTTTGGTGAGGCCAGTGGGAACTATAGGAAGAGAGAGAAGGAGAACCATGATGATGATGATTATGGTTATGGCTATCCCACCAGTTCGGCGGCGTGGAGGAGGTCGCAACAGAGCTCTCGGTGCATTCGTCCCCCATTATCGCGGCTTCGAAGTGCGCTTTCTTCTTCTTCTTGTTCTTTGGTTGTATTTGTGGGTGGGATAGAGGGGATCGTAGAATATAAGGAAGGAGAGAGGGGGAATGGTGGTGACGTAGGAGTGTGTGTGTTTGTGAATGTTATATGAATTATAGAGGGAGAGTGGGGACAATAAAAAATGCTCATTGAGTTATTCCACTAACTTTCGTCGGGATATTGTAATATTAATGCTAACTGGGGGCCAGCAAATGAGAGTGTGCCTTCCCACAGTTCCTATTTTTTGTTGGTTGGACCAATTTTCTTTTTTTTTTTTTAATTATTTTCATTTTTAGGGTTGTTTATACACACTATTTTATTTTCTCTCTCTCCCTATTTTTTTAATTATTATTATTTTTCTTGCGCGTGTCAATGTGAAGGCTTTTTCTTGTGGACAAGGACACTGGCACTAATGCTTGATTCCAAAGTCGTCCTATGTAAAATACGATGTGCGGAAAAAATACCCTAATTTTAGTCTCCTTTGAAAAAGAAAGACAGAAAAAATAATAATTTTGCAGTGAAAGTTGCGGATCTCGGTTGAAGAAAGAAGAAATGATCGGTGAAAGTTGATTAAGCGAGACTTTACCTTAGTGACCAATAAAATGAAAGTTTGATTATACAAAAGTTCTTTGAAGACCTATTGCTTTAGGAGATGACTATATTTTGTGAGTGAAACTCCAGACGAATATGAGGGGTGAAATCGTAACAAGGTATAGCCTTAAGGGAACCTGTGGCCGAATTGAATCATTCGCGAGAGTTCATCAAAATAATTGTCCAACATTGCTACACCGAGCACGTGATGTGCATAGTCTTAAGTGCTGGAAAATTAACGATCTTGTATAATTTTCTCTTCCACATAAAATATCAAAACACAACCACAATATGCAAATAAGGAAGAAAACAGTAAAGCACAGGAAAAACGACACAACAATTATACTGGTTCACCACTAAGGGCTACTTCCAGTCTTCCACTCAGATGTAGGTAATTTACTAATAATGTTAAGGATTGGTTACAACAACTCTCCCTAGAAACATCCCTTAGAGGTCATCCCAGCAAAAGCCCCTAGCTTCTAAGTATTTTAACACAATTAATACTGTAACGCCCTGCGTTACTCAATTAGATTAACCTTAAGTCTCGGGGTTTTACTTAGAAATTATTTTAAATTGTTCTACTTCGTGTTATTTTGAGATGTTGTGGTGTTTGTTGTGAGTTTTATTATTTATGTATTTATTATTTAACGAAGTGTTTGTTTTCTTTTTAGCATTTTTAGTGGGTCGTTGGACTTATTGTTTATTATGCTATTAGAGATAATTAAGTTTAGTAATGTTGGAAAACTAGAACTCTAATCTTTGTGATTCATGCGCTAAAAGAATTGGGTAATTGGGCATAGAGGAAAGACCCATTTTTTTTCTTCCCCCTGCAGCGAGCACCACCTCTGGCGAATGACAGGCGCAACATCGGTTTGGCGGTAGAGGGAGTGCTGCAGTGGGCGTTCGGGGTGGTTGTTTTCGGTGACACAACTCCATAGTCGGTTTCAGTTTTCCGTGGAGGCCGGCGACTTCGGGTACGGGTTCCTCACGGCACACAGCAGCGCGATTTTAGTTGGGGTTTTTTTTTTCTGTTGTAGGAATAAAAGCTACATTTGTGGCGTTCGGCACCTACCCGTAACCTTTCGAAGCCTGATTTATTACAACCCCACACCCCATCGAGTTAGATCTAAGTTATCCACGCCAGTATGAAGTCAATTTTGGCGATAACGAACCATTCAAAACACCTTAGAACCGTATTCGATGGCTGGAATTTTTGTTTTTAATTGCTGTTTTTGTCTCTTGATGCCTAGGTGTTGAATCGAGTGTGGTTAAGAAGCATAGCAGTGTATAAGTAGCACCAAGGGGCGGGTGTGTGTGTTAATGGGTGCTAATAAAATGGTTTTCGTGTTCAACTTTAATATATTTGTGCATCTCATGTATGTAAAAATGGTAGGCCATGGTGTGAGAGCTCGTAGATGTTATTGATAGGTTGCATTTGATGATCTGAAAGTTTGTTTTGAGGTTAAAAGATGTATTTTCTTTTATATTATGTGCTGGAAAATTTGTTATGAAAGGTTGAGACATGCTTGATGTTTATTTTTTATGATATTATGTGCTGAAAATTAGTGTGGGATATGGTTACACTCTTATGACGCGGTCCTTCATGATATAGAGAGCTGAAATTTACTTTTATGATAGGTTTAATTTGGACACACTCGTTGTGGTCGTGCATAGTAGAGAGTAAGAACAAATGTTGTAAGGATTAGTTGGGCGTTCTTGTTGTAGTTCTACTTTTAAGAATGTTTATGCAAAAAAAAAAAGTGACGGGGTATGACCTGGTCAAGATCGGCCACAGGGAAGAGCTCGAACCTAATCCAAGTATGACCGTCAAGAGAGCATGACCTGCTTTTCAGGTATGACCGCGGGAAGAGCATGACCTTCTTCAGGTATGACCGCGGGAAGAGCTTGGGTATCCTAGGTGGAGTTATCTGATGCCAGCTCTTCCTCTAATCGGGATGAGCTGGTGTCAGGAATGAGCTGAAAGGCCACTTGGCGAGGAAAGACCTGTAGAAGGGAACAAACACTCCAATACTCAAGTCAGTTTTGAGTTTGACCTTAGTATGGAGGTCGAGCTAGAATATGATACCTGATTGAAGAGTGAAGTGCCCTATTTATAGGTTGAGGTACCTGACAAGGAATCAAACCAGCGGTTGAGCATGTCGTGACCAAGGTCGGCCTGTCGGGAGTAGCTATTCCAGTTCATACTCTATAGTCTCGAATTTGGCTAAGTATGGTAGGTCGTTCCTCCCTTGAATGATCTTCAGGGAAGACCTTTAGATTGGCCTTTTGGAAGGCCTCAGGTCGGCCATTAGGCAAGGCCTTCAGGTCGGCCCTCAGGGGAGCTCTTCAAGTCGGCCCTCAGTGGAGCTCTTTAGGTCGGCTACTTCAGGTCGGCCACCAAAAGAAAGATCTTCAGGTCGGCAACCAAAGGGAAGACCTCCAAAGTTGGACCTTTTTCTGTCCTCCACGTGGCAATACGATTTTCAACCCCGAAACAAAGAGGATCTTGGATCACGAGAACTGTTACTCCTGTATTTCGTTACTCTTCTATTTCTTATGGTGTATAAAATGCTAGGAATTGTTTGTTGAGGCTTGTGACCATGAAACGCATGTTATCTTTTGGCTTGGACTATTATGTTTGGGGTACACTATGGTGGAAATATTCTGGATATTTTTCAACTTGTGTGTCCTTGAGAGTGTAATGCATTGAAGTCCTGTTGCATGACCTCATGTGGAAAATTGTTGTGGTTCCTGGGTTGAGGAGTAGTACTTTAGTCCCGATTGGGATGAGGAGTGAAATGTGGAATTTGGTTATTATCACGTCACTACTGGGTGTCGAGGATCTGGGTATAAAGGGTTGGGGGTCGATAGCCCAGTCCTGGTACAGACGAGTGTCGAGGCTCCGGGTACAAAAGGTCGGGGGTCGGCATGATGAGTCTTTTGGTGGTGACTGTAGGGTCTTGACATGGTGGCGGTCAAGGACCAATACGTTGAGTAGTCATCGGAGCCTTGGGGATAAATGTCAAGGGCCGATGCACAGTTCAAGGCCTTGGGGATAAATGGCAAGGTTGAACACCAAGCTTCTGTAGAGGAGTGTCGGGTCCTTGGAGATAAATGACAAGGGCTGATGCGATTCGAGGAGTTAAACTTGGAGAACTAACATGGCATTGCATTAGTAGTTACAGTTCAAGGTCTTGGGGATAAATGTCAAGAGTCGATACAACTCGAGTTAAACTTGGAGGTCTAACTTAGTGTGCTGGGTAGAAGCAGCTTGAAGGAGTTAGAGATCAGCAGGCCTTGTGGCTAGAGTGGCGTGAGTCTTGGTATTTCGGGTGCTTGTGTTCATGTGTTGATTTGACTGATATGACCATTGATGCTTGATTTCTAGTTACCATTTTTCTTTTATGATTGTTGTGGTTAGGATGCATGATGTTTGTGAATAGTTAGTGAGGGCTACTTACAGAGTATTTTATATACTCCCCCTCTACTTTAATTGTTTCAGGTGTAGACCGAATCCTTGGCCGTGGTGATGACGTAGAGGAGGCTGCGTACTTTTGTCTAGGATGTTGGAAAAATTAAATAAACCCTAATTCATGATTATTCTAAAACAAAAGCCATAAAATTCCAGAACAATCAAGGCCAAGGATCTAAGCATGGAAGAAAACCAAAATCTATAAAGAGATTAGAATTACCTGAAATCATTAGATAGATTGACCACGATCTGCAAGAAGTTGTGGTTTGTGGTCTTCCTCAACTATGCTACCCAGACCAAATATGGACAATACTCTATGTTTGATGGGGAACATGATGGTCAAGAAGCATAGTGTATTGGGGACCATAACCATATATTTATAGGTTAATCCTAGGGTTTCCTATAATCCCCTATGATTAATAGGCTGATTTCTACTCAGCAAGCCACACCACTAAATGGGAAGTCATGGACCCATAATTAAGATCATTTGTATGCCCATTAAATAGCCCAAATATAATTGCTCTTTAAACTTAACTCTTAGAGATCCAGTAATCATCCATGCAAAAGTTGCTCTGATACCACTTGTTGGAAAAATTAAATAAACCCTAATTCATGATTATTCTAAAACAAAAGCCATAAAATTTCAGAACAATCAAGGCCAAGGATCTAAGCATGGAAGAAAACCAAAATCTATAAAGAGATCAGAATTATCTGAAATCATTAGATAGATTGACCACGATCTGCAAGAAGTTGTGGTTTGTGGTCTTCCTCAACTATGCAACCCAGACCAAATATGGACAATACTCTTGATGGGGAACATGAGACTCAAGAAGAATAGTGTATTGGGGACCATAACCATATATTTATAGGTTAATCCTAGGGTTTCCCATAATACCCTAGGATTAATGAGCTGGTTTCTACTCAGCAAGCCACACCACTAAATGGGAAGTCATGAGCCCATAATTAAGATCATTTTATGCCCATTAAAT